AGACCTTGTGGCAGGTAAGGTGTGTGGGAAGATCATGCAGGGGGGGATGAAGGGACCATGGGGAGACCACATGAAGGTGGGGAGTGCATGGAGACTGCTCAGTGTCCAGGAAGAGTGCAGGGAGACCACACGGTGAGGAAAATTGGGGAGCATGGGGAAACTGCACAATGCAGAGTTGGGGAGTGCAGGGAGATTGTATGGTGGCAGGGGAATAGAAGGGGAGAAACCAGACAGCAGTAGGGGAGCTGCTTTGGCTTCACCTCTGGCTCCAACCTGGGGCTGGGGCTTGAATTGCTGCTGCAGCTTCTGCCTGGTCAGGGATGGAGCCACTGTTCGCTCTGGACCCTGGCCAAAGCTGAAGTCAGAGCCACCACATCAGGTAAATGGGAGCGGGGGCCAGGTCCTGCGGGGAAGGTGGGGACCTTTGGCCAGGGAAGGCACGTGGCAGGGAGGATGGCACCAGGGGATGCAGGCACAAGAAGTGGGGCAAATGGCATGGGGACAGGGTACAGGCTGCCTGCCCTCCACCCCTGCCCCTGCTTTCCCTGCTGCTTATTCACTGCTGCTGCTTTCCCCACTGCAGCAGTTGGGGAATGAATCTAAGATGACCCTTCAATAACTAGTTTCCATATATGGAAAATTATAACAAATTAGCTTGGATAAATTATATGGGAAGTCAAAGTCATATGGGAAAAATTGGTTACGTAGTAGCAAGCTAGTTTGGGAAAGCTACATGTTGAGTACAGAAATTCTACCCTCTTACAGGGTTCTGTAAACACAAAATTACAATTATTTTAATTGTGCTTTACAAAATATTTGTATCATCATATTCTGTATTTGCAGTCTTCCCATCTGAAGACAAATTTACTTATCATAAACTAGGATGAATGAGATGAGGTCCTCAGGATGTAACTCGATAAAATACAGACATTTTTTTCTCCCTTTTTAAAAAAGGAATGAAAAGAAAAATATTTTTTGAATTCTAAAAATTATAAAAATGAACACGATTCCTTTTGTGATGGAAATTGGATAGTGCATGGAAAGTGTTTAAATTATCTATACCAAAGGCATTCTCAGGGAATCCCTATCTTGTGAATATCATTTGAGGAGATCTGGAATCTAGGGAGATTAAGTGGACCTCTAAAAATAGTCATAGCTGCACAACAGATACTGTTGTATCTGAATATAAATAATGTGAAGAGAAATAGCTCTTAATAGGGTAATCAGTGCCTTTTAAAGAGAGAAAGTTGTGGGGAAGGGTCTTACTACTTCTAGTAGAGTTAAATGGTTATGTGTTAAATTAGGTATAAACCTTTTTAGGTATAAATTAGGTACTATAAACCTTTTGTACAGGTGCATATTTTGAATCCAAAATCTTAAATGTATTAGAAGTGTGAGATCCTGCAGAATTTTTATGAATCCAACTCAAAGACATCCTGCAAAATGGATGGTGAATTTATCTCTAAACAACATAAAGTATCTAGACCAAGGAGGGCCAGTCTTTTTGGCAGGCATGCCAAAAATTAGCTGAAGGAATCTATGTTATTTCATATAAAAAAATAAATGAGGAGAATGGAGGGAATGTTTTTTGCTTAGTTTTCTTTTTCTGGAGTTTAAATTTAATCCGGAAAGTTTCTACCTGAGATTTTGTAGATCACTGTGTCATTGAAGAGTATTATAGTACTTGCTGGTATGGTATGTCAGTGACTCGTTCAGGCAGTATTATGGTTTTCTTTCATGTTGCTCATCATAGATTAGGGTCTGTTAATTCTTGTAAAAAATATGGTACACAAAACAACAATGCAAACAAACTGCAGTGGGAACAAACATTACTTTACTGTGTTTGCAGAAACCAGTAAATTTCTAATCTACCATGCCATAGAGGAGGAGCACACAAGTCGGGGAGAGTTGGTCTGTTCCTTTGAGTTATAAATCAAAAACATAGGTAAGAAAAACAATTGCTTCAGTACTATATTTTTAGGTTCACCGTAGGACATCAGTTATACAGGGCTTGGAGACTGAGCTAGGGTTCAAAAGGATCCTTTTAAAGGCCTCTTACAAACAGAAATCAGCAGGGAAGAAGAAAACAGATACCTTCTTTAAAACTCAATTTTATTTTAAAGCTGGGTTTTGTTGGTAGCATTGGGGAAGATTCAACCCCAGGAAATTATCCTGAACTTTTTAATTTAAAGTAAGTCTACATTGGAAACATTTTACTTACTACTTAGCACCAGTGTTAGTGCACTAATTTATCATACCACTTTTATGACATTCTTGATACAACTGATATTTAGCAACAAAAAATTTCTCATGGTACCTCTGATATGGTTTCCTCAGACTTTTTCCTTGAAATCAGTCCTTTTTTACTCTCTACTGCCTTCCACAGTCCTTGTACCCCAAAAGATATTACAACTACAGGAATTATAAGCTTTGTCCATATGCTAATCTTTCATCTACTTTTTAAATGTGTGAATAGCAAAGCAAAAATAGATTTTCAGAGATATAAAGAAATTTCCAATACTTATTGATTATATCTGTCGATTATGAAGGAAGTCCAATAAATAAATTACATTTGCCAAAATATTCAAACTCCAAAACAGCTCTTAAAACAAGTTGCAGTAGTTATAGAGGCTTAGCTAGGGGTAGTTAATATTCTTTTAACTCTGCATGCATTCCTGTCAGAATTAGATATAACTACTTCTGCATCTACACTGACTAGAGAGATGCTTGAGAACAAGGACACACTTTCTTAATTTCTCTTTATGGCCTTTGATGGATGTATTGACATTTAATTCCCTCCTTCCCAATACACTGCTGTAATATTGGAGTCACCGTGTGTTTTAAAATGGGTAGTTACTGTTGATTTCAATATGCTGCCGTTCTGTTTTCCATTCTGAATTCCAGCTAGAGAGTGCTGCACATCTTAAAAGCAGAATCTATTAATGGCTTTGGTGGCAGCTCATAAAGCTTAGCTATAAAGAGAAGAATTCAGTTTAAAAGTAATGTAACCCTTCAATTCTTCCATGACATGTTTTGGTGGCAGCTTTGCTCTTTGCATATAGCAGACAGTTGTCACTTGCATGGCTAGAGTGCCCTCTTGGGGGCAGAGAGGAAGGTCTGCATGGTCTCCATTCCTTGTAAATCCCTTGATCTACTGAAAGTGCAGTACCCTCTGCATTGAGACCACAGTAACTGACCATGAAAACTTTACTGTCTGGAACTCCAATATACTTCCATTAAAGTGGGTTATGCAGAGTCAAAGTAGACTACAGAAAAGATAATACAAATGCACTTGACCCTGCTCTCTGTGCATATGGATCTCAGGACCTGTGGAGAATCTTTTCTCTTTCTTGTGGGCAGGAGCAAATCAGTGTGTATATGATCCACCAACCAGCCTATAATTTGTCACAGATAGCCACCTCAATTTATGGTTGAGGACAGTAATTTATGGCTTTATTCATCTCCTTCATTAGAGGAGCAGTTTGGAGGCTGTTCATAAAATACAAAAATCAGAGGTACAGTTCTTTAATATGTAAATTATAGATATTAACAAATATCCAAAAAGAAATTGGTGTGTTCTTACCCATAGCATGCACAAACCAATCTAATAGATTTATTCTTGGGACCTCTGTGATCTAGTCTGACTCCTTAATAAAACCAACCGTGTTTGAACAAGAGTTTGTCTTAGAAACTATCCGGTCTTGATTTAAAAGATGCCAGTGGTACCACAGTGTTTGTTGTTCCAGTAGTTGATTAGAACCTTCAGTTACCAAATTTTTGTTTTCTGTGTAAATAAATGATCATATAATTTTTTTTATACATGATGTAGACTCAGCTTTTGACTCTTTTACTATGTGATATTCTGATCACACTCATGGTTCTTCTCTGGAGCCTCTCTGATCTTTCCTATTCTTTGAATTATGAACACTATTAATGGACAGAGTATTCCACCTGTTATATTGGTGCCAAATGCGGCAGACATCCTACTTTATGTTCTCCTGGTTATAAAAGGATCATAGAATTTCAACATGTTAACTCTGTTGCCTTTAGCAACCAAATATGTATCTCATAAAAATGTTACTAATTAATTTGTTTGACTTGATCTGTTCTCTGTAAATCAGCAACAGCATTTATAAATTCTGAATCATAGAAAAATAGGGCTAAAAGGCATCTTCAGAGGTCATTGAGTCCCACCCCCTGCACCAGCGCAGGATCATCTCTACCTAAACCATCCAGGGAAATGTTCATCTAACTGCTATTTACAGACTTCCACACCTCTCTATGTAATTTGTTCCAAAACTTAATTACCTTGATCCAACCTATATCTTCCTCATTGCAGTCTAAACCCTGTACTTCTTATCTTGTTTCCTATGGTCTCCAAAAGCAATAGATTCCCATCCTCTGTATAACAACCCTTTTACTGTTTCAACACTTTTCACATACTCCTCTTCTCCAGTCCAAATAATGGCAGTTCTTTTAGCCTGTCCTCAGGTATAATGTTTTTAAGATAATTTGTCTCTTTTTTGCTTTTCTCCGGACACTTTCCAGTTTATCTACATCTTTCTTCAAGTAAGGTGCCCAAAACTGGGCACAATATAGGACGTGAAGCGTCAACATTGCTGAATGAAGTGGAAGAATTACTTGCTGTAACTTGCACACAATGTTCCTATTAATACATCCCAGGAGGCTTTTGGCGTTTCTGTAACAATATTGCACTGACTCACATTTGGCTTGCTATCTGTTATAAAGCCCAGATCCTTTTCTGAAGTACCCCTGCCAGTCATTCAGCATTTTGTATCTGTACATTTGATTGATCCTTCCAAGGTGTAGTCTTTTGTACTTGGCCATACTGAATTTAATCTGATTTAATCAGACCACTTTTCCGATTTATCAAAGTTGTCCTGAATACTAACCTGTCCTATAAAATGTCTGAAGCCCCTTCCAACTTGCTATATTGCTTAAATTATGTATTAAGCATACACTGAGTTCTGTCCTCTAGCTAATTAATGATGTTATTGAATAGTACCAGATCCAGAATAGACACCTGGAAAATGACTGCTGTTTTGACACTGAGCCATTGATGACCAGGGATCCTGGTTTTGCCTGATAAAAAAACTCACAAATTCTCTGCTAAAACCCCCAAAATCTGTGATTAAAATTGAAGCCTCCGCAGCCCCCCACACAGCTCCCCTGGCCCTGATGGTGCCCCTTTCTCCCCACCCAGAGCCCAAACAGCCTTGCTGGTGCCCCTCACCCTCCACCTACAGCCCCTGCTCCCCCACCCCTGCCAGAGGGGACCCCCAGTTGCCAGGGCTATGAACCTGGGTCCACAGTCCTCTGCCTTTACTCCCCACTGCAGTGGGCTTGGATGGGACGGCTCCTGCCACTGTGTGCACACTCAGGAGGAAGGGGGGACCTGCGCCCCCCAGATCTGTACCTGGGGCAGGTGCAGTCTGTGGGCTTGAGCTTCCACGCTGCTTTTTCCCCCCACAGCCTCCAGAGACTGGTGGGCATGACCTGGCATGGGACAGTGGGGCCGTGTGGGGATCTCTTTCCTGATGCTCGTCCCTGCCCCACTGCCCCAGCGATGCACCTCTTGTGCATGGGTCTGCAGTGAGCACAGTGGCACGGGGCTGCACCCCTCAAAGCAGTGGCAGGCGCTGGAGGCACGTTGCCAGGGCAGTGGGGGAGGGGTAAAGCAGCAGCAAGGAGATCCCTGCGTGGCCCTGCTGTCCCCAGCCATACCAGGTGGTTCCCATCAGGCTCTGGAGGCCTCAGGGGAGGGAAGCAGGGTGGGAGCCGAAGCCCGCAGCCTGCACCTGTCCTCGGTATGGATCTGGGGGGTGTGGGTTCCCCCTGCTCCCCGGGAGTGCGCATGGCAGCAGGGAGCTGACCCTCCCCTTGCCCTGGATGAACCACCTACAGCCGTCCTACTCCCTGCTGGGGCCCTGCAGCCATGCATTGTGGCCCTAAGCGCCACCCAGCTGAACAGCAGCCTCAGCCCTAACCAGCTCTCTCTCTCCCCCGTTTACCTGCTGGAGCTGCTTTGCAGCCTGCCTGGAGCCACATGCATGTCCATGCACATGGCGCCCCCTGTCTCTTTGCCTTCCTCCTGCTCTCTACCAGCCTGCAAAGAGCCCATTGCAAAATGGCAAAATCCATGGGTTTCTCTTGTAAAACAAGAAATTCACGTTTGCTTCTGGTAAAAGGTAAAATCCATGGTTTACTCTGTTTTTCTATGAGAAACGGAAAATCTGTATCCCTGTTGATGAGTACTCTTTCAGCATGATTATTTAATGATGTATGCACTTGTTTTATAGGAGTTTCAACTAGACTGCATTTCCTTAGCTTTCTTATGAGAATGTCTTGGGAAGCTGTCAGATACCTAGCATAAGGTTAAGCTATATCACATCCACTGCTTCAACAAAGTTTGCAAGGTTAAAAAAATCACAGTCTTTTTCAATATCAGTACTCATGTTGAAGACAGCTTTTGTTCTTATATTTAAAAGATCGAGGAAGAGATCTTATTTTAGTTAAATCTATTATTGTTACTAGCAGTGAATTGCAAAACCAAAAAAAATCTCTAACATTCTAATTGCAATGTGTTACAAATAATCAAAAAAATTTTTTTTGGTTCACATCATGAACCAAACTGGTCTTAATGTATTATAACAATATTGTCTACATCGTTAGGTATCTTGTATAAATTCAGTGAGGAAGAGTTTATGCTGTAATGTCTTTGCTTTGTTTTACTTGCTGGTCATCGGAGGCTTCAGTTTATATTGCAGCTAAGGTGTTATACTAGGCTAAACTCTGTAAAATGCCAGCATTTGTACTTCTTTTTCCTTATCATCAATCTTTCACACTCATATCAAACCCCTAATGTATCAGTGGGTTTCCCAGAGCTACTGGTTAAAATTACCTTTGCTTTTGGTAAACTATGAACCTTCAAACCTGAGTATTTTCAGCTGCCCCCTGCGGATTCTGTGAAGCCTCTATCTGGCACATTACTCACTGCCAGTTACTTGCTTTATATCTTAGAGCAACAAAAACTGCAAATCTGTAACCTGTTAAGAACCAGATTACTTTTTAAACTTGTTTTTTTTTCCACGTTGAATTAATTGTGCCAAAGGAAAGTATATAAACATACTAAATCATAGTATTTTTAATAGTGGTAAAATATGATTGAAAATCTGGGAAGTGGTGTTTCCCTTGGAAACTGTGAGTTCAGCTATGTTTTAAAAGTTGTACAAGAAGGATGATAAAAGTATGAAAGGTGCTACAGTATATCAAGCCAAACTGTTGTTTAATTGCCATTTCCAGTTTTCATTTTCTGACAGCTGGGGTTTTTTAATTATTATTTGAAAACTTTATGTGGTACCTTGAAATAAGAGACACTGTCAAATACAGTACTTAGGTTGTCAAAATACCATCATTAAACGCACATGCTTTAAAAATATTACTATTGAGAATCTAGGTTGGAATAACAGGCTAAACATTTCAATAAATCAGTATCGCTTCTTTTTCTGACCGTTTTATTGATATTTGTGTCTATAAAACTCACACCATAGCCCTTACCTTCATAGGAAAAAGTCAATCCCTTCTTGACCATCCTCTGCTGTGAGTAAATATGAACCATCCCAAGAGGTTCAGTGGTTTTCTCACTACTCCATCATTTTGAGATGCTGTTTTTCACCTCCCTACCCATTTTAAACTCTTGATCTTTTTTGCAGTTGACAGCTGTGATGATCCCATATTCAGGCCAATGCTAAAAGGTATTTTGTGGAGCATGAGCCAACACCCACCTATTCTTGAAACTTAAAGTTCCTTTTTAAATACTTAGAGGGCCAGATCCTCAGTGAGAGACGACATATGGTCTGTGTCTCTGTGTATCTGGAAAAAGGTTGTGTTTGTTCTCTGTCAGTTCTGATCTATTTTGTGGTTATTGGTGTTGTTCTCAAAGTTGTATTTCCATCCTTGTCAAAACCATGAATTACAGCAGCCATGGCCTGACTGTGGTAAGATAGTACTGACATATCTCTAATTTGAGAATTAGAATTTATACCTTTAGAAATCCTAGAAATGTTTTCCTCTGTTTCTGGAAAAAAACCTATGATTTACTTTGACTACCCTTAGAAAATACATGTATCATCAGGCTAATCACAATAAAAAAAAACACAAAAGTTTACACATTTGGAAATGATTTGATAAAAATATTGACTGAACTTGTGTGCTCTTTAAAAGCAAATATTCTGCCTTTATACAGTAAGCCTTGATTATTCAAATGCTTTTTCTTCAAACTTGCAGTGTTCTATATTATAGCTGTATCCCATTTCCAAAATTTGTACTAATAATTTGTGTTTCAACAAAATTCTAGTTCAGAAATGCAGAAGCCAATTAAATATTATTTTGTAATATGTGTTCCTGGAGTGGTTTGAGTGGATAGTCTGAATTTTAAGTCTAATGTTACTGTTATTTGATATACCAATTTATATTATCTACTGATTTATCAGATACATATACAGTAATGGGCTTGATTAATTGAAAGTGCAACTTACTTATACAAGTTTGAATATTTTAGTAAGCATTCCAGCAAAATTCAAATAAAAATGAGTAGACATTTGTTTCTTTTGCTGGCTGAGTTTGGCTGTATTAATTTACCCGACCAATTTTGCAGAGGGATAAGGAATATTTTTCTTTAACTTTTC